AAAAGGGAATATCCAAGGCAAAATTATTTTAAATTTTCTTCCTACAAACTTTTAACGTATACTTTTTGAGCGCTAAGAATATATTCTCAATTAATACCAAATTTTATTACGAGAGGAGGAAGAGAAAAGTAGTAATACTTTCTTTCTTTTTTGAAAGTAGTAATAAATAAATAAATGTGGTTCTACTCCCTAATCTTGATTTTTTTACGGTAATTTCATAAGCTATTCTTTTAACACATGAATCTACGTACAATTTGCATGTACATCTTTGATGGATAAATTCTCTCTATAGTATAAAATCACAATAAACGGTTATGTCCGAAACAGTTTTTTTTTTTTAAGTTTTATGTCCGAAACAGTTTGAAACCTCTAATAAACTTTTATATCTTATAATCTAAAATTTTAAATCAAACTTATATCTGGTGTAGAAATCTTTTAAACTTTACTACTAAGCTACAGTATTCTCTCATTCTCTAATCTTGATTGGTATCTAACATTGCATTATTTCAGTGTAATGTTTTATTTTGGGTTTCAAAAAATAGTAGAGATTGTTTATACCTTGTTCTCTTGTTGAGATGTTTATTTAATTTCTGATATTTAACGTTCGATATGCATGAATTTCCACACCTATTACATGAAATTATCTTAACTAGATTTTTTAAGACTATTATCTATAATGTTTTTTGGGATAGTATAGTCGAATGTTGAAGAAAAGAGGTTGGAATGCTAATACTTTTTATGTTCGATCCATCTCTGGTCTGAAACTAAATTATGTTCTTATAAGCTTATATTTTCGAACTCATTTGCATATATGGAGAAATGGTGCATCCGTAGCCGACACCTTCTGTTGATGATTAATCTGGACATTGGATAAGTCCAAGATATCCTCAAATTATCATATATATATATAATATATATATATATAATATATATATATATATATATAATGCTTCATTCTAATTATTTTCAAAGTAGAGTAAATTCATAATAGAGTTGAGATCTATTTTAAAATAAATCTATTTTTACTCTATTACATAGAAAAAATAGATCTAGGTTGCAACTCTTTTACTTTGAAAGTAAGTGGGATATTGTTAGAGATACTCTAAAAAACTTCTAAATAATAATGAGTAAATTAGAGCCGGTATTTTACTAGAAAAAAGTACTGGTATATATGCGTAATTGTATATGTACTTTTGTTACATTATAACTAGGTCCATTTTGCGGTTGAATTTTTAGTTTTTCTTTTCTGGAATTTCTTTTTTTTTTACATTTTTCGTTGACCAATAACTTTTTAAGAGTTGAAAAACATAGGAGTATTTGTTTCGGTATGAAATTGTTTATTATAATTTTCACATGATAAGAAGCTGTATTGGTTATAAAGTTTTGTAATCTTAATTTAACATATTTAGATTATTTTTAATCAATTTAAAAAGTTATTACGATAAATTATCAAAATTATATATACATGGGGTTTTAGTTATAAAGTTATTACGATAAATTATCAAAATTATATATACATAACAAAAGAGTTAAGAAAAATTTGTGGGTTTCTACTAACATTATTTCTTAATTTAACATATTTAGATTATTTTTAATCAATTTAAAACAATTTTAAAAATGATTTAAACCAATTTAAAATGATCTAAACCATTTTAATCAGATTTTAGGAAAATCTTTTCGGCTACTAGTAATTTACATATTTAGATTAATTTAAGTCAATTTAAAAATGATTTTAAAATGATCTAATCAATTTAAAATGATCTAAACCAATTTGAATTGTATTAATTGGATTTTAGGAAAGTCGTTTTGACTACGAGTGAGGACTAGATGTGAAGATCGATTTTTAGATGCTTATCACTTTTTTTGGTAAATAGCCTATCATATTTTTCGTAGATAGTTTATGTGTCACCATGTATTTTAGAGATACACAATCAAAAATATATTCACTCTATTTCAGAATAAATCTTATTATAATATTTTTTGTTACACAAAAAATATCATTTTATAATTTAAATGCAAATAATACTTATTTTCAATTAAAATTAATTGTAAACTGTATGAATTTTATAATTAATTTATTTATTTCAAATTTTATTAGTTAATAAGTGTAATTAATAATAGTTTAAATATATTTTAACCACTTTATTAATTAGATGAAAAATGTCAAAGTGACATTTATTAATAACCGGATAGAGAAATAGACATTACGTCCTATGGGTCCAAAATTTAAGCTATCAAACTTTAAGCTCCCGTTTTTTCGGTAATGTTGTCACACTAGTGAATATATATGATTTAAGAAGTGAGTGGTCATAAGAAACCCGACACTTGTTATCAAGAGAATATGGCCATCTACATAACTCATTTTAGACGAGATAAAACCTCCCAATAGTTAATACGATTTGCTCACTTGGAAGAGTATAAATACTCCCTCCGTTTCGAATTAGATGTCCTTCTAGACGAAAAATTTTGTTTCAAAATAAGTGTCGTTTTAGAGTTTCGAGACAAAATTTATTAAGTTTATATGATATTCTATTTTTCTATTGGTTGAAAAGTGGTTAGAGTATTGGTAATTGTATTTTATATTGAAAATATGTAAAATTAAATATTTCCTTAATCTGTGTGTAAAAACCTAGAATGACAAATAAATTGAAACGGAGGGAGTACAATAGTTATTACTCATTCCGTTTTTGCAAAAAAAAAATCATTTTGACATATTTCACGTGAATTAAAAAAAGATAAAATATAATAATATATGATTAATTAAGTACAAATTATTTAAATAAAATTTTATTAGTTATTTAAAAGGGTAAAAGATAAAATTAATGTAGAGTGGCATTCTTTTACAAATAAAAATAAATTTAAAATAACATTTTGTATAAACAGAGGAGTATTTAATAATCTTAATTATTTGACGGCAGGAATATAGTCAATTTTCAGCTTATATTCCAGAGAATCACAATTCACAACCGAGTAAATGAAGGCACAGGTACATGCGTTTTTACGTTTTGCAAGATGCTAACAATGAGTATTTAATCAATGAAAATCAGCTTAGTAAATTAACAGTCCTTTACATAGAGACCGACCAAACTCGTTGGTTACTTAATTCGTTTGCTATAAATTGATAGGAGGGTTCGTTGCTCTCTCTGAAAAAACGACCATTCTCTCTGTTTTATTTCTTCTTTAACTTCTCATACCCATAACGTTAAAACGTGTCAATTCATGGATAAGCATCTCAGGACGAAGCAAATTAAGGCCAACCCTATTCTTACTTCTTCCTCGAAAGGTAAGCTGATGAAACGATCGTTTTAACTTTTTCCATGTTTACAAACAAAAAAAGAACATCTTTATAGTTTGAAAAATGTGAATGCTTGACATGGAACAGAAGTGAGTAGTCCTGAGTGGCAAGCTGTGAACATGAACCAAGAAGAAGAAGATTTGGTCTGTAGAATGCATAAGCTTGTCGGTGACAGGTTTGTTTCATTTAAATTATAACTTAATTATTATGTCGTAGAATCTAAAACTATATTTCATCTATTTCGTTATATAAATTATTTTAATCAAAAACAAATATCAAGAAAACTATTATTTTCAAAAATGTAATATGTAATATATATATACTTAATAGAATTAACTAGTTATAAAATTTAAAATTTTAATGAATTATACAATACTCAACGAAGATAAAACATGTACAAGGACATGCTCAGCCCTTCTTTGAAGCACACCAAACATAAGATTTATGTCACATTTTAATACCTTTTAGTTAATGACACTACTTGATCAAAAAGAAAAAGTGTAATGCCACTACATAATCATTCAATGTGTGTGATATCTTGAATATACAATAGATAGAGTTTTGCTTGTTTTTAATTTAATTATTACTCTTTTATTTTCATCTAACTTATATTACTTCTATTACATATATAAATAAATAAATATATGTATATATATATATATATATCCATTTACTGCATCTGAAAGTGTCTTAAATATATGTGTACCAGTAAAAACTTATCATTAGTTGGACATGACAGATTCCTAGAATTTTAATATATAAATTTTAGGTGTTAAAATTTTATTTTCTATGATAAGTATGTATTCATAAAAGAAAAAGAAAACTAGATTTTGAAACTATTATAAATATGGGTCAAGTGATTGTAAAGTTATTAATTCATAAAATAATATACAAATTCTAAACAGATATTTGTTTCGACAAGTTTTGCTCTCTTTTCTTTCTTCGAATTTGATTTACGTTTGTTCACCACACCATCATAGCTATATAATTCATATTTAATATTCTATACCATTTTCTTTGTTTTAAAAGAAAAATTTATTAACATTTAACTCTTTAATGTTGCCAAATTAATAATATTCTTTAAAATAACTAAATACATGTATTTCACTTGAAACATTATGTATCATACTTATATATTCCAAAATCGAATTCTTTAATATATGTTTTTAGCTTTATCATTGTTTTGTTTAGTTGGGAAACTACAAACAATAATGGCATAATCAATTTTAAAGTATTCTCTTCGTTTAATTTTAGTTGTCTTTGTGGACGTAGATTAAGAAATTATTTAATTTTACATAATTTCAAAATAAAAACACAATTATTTATACACCTAACCATATTTTAACCAATAGAAAAATAGATAAAACTAATAAATTATGCATTGAAACTATAAAAAGACACTTATTTTGAAACGATAATTTTTCTTTAAAACAACAAATAAAGTGGAACGATGGAGTAATATTTATAGATTTTCACTCTGTGATTTGTGTGGTAAACAGAAATATGTAAGTGTAGTCTTATTAATAACTAAAATAATGTTAAACATTATATGTTCTTACTTCAGTGCAATTAAGGCCACAGTATTTTTTTGCTTTAAGCCACAGAAAATTATGGGACAGCACTGGAGATACAAAACAACTTATACTATAAAAAATATTATAAAATAGAGGAGAAATAATCATTAAAAGGTTATGTTTGTTTATAGGTGGGAGTTGATAGCTGGGAGGATCCCCGGAAGAACGGCAGAAGAAATTGAGAGGTTTTGGATCATGAAGAATAACTGAATTAGTTCTGAAGTTTCACTGTTTAATTTTAATTTGCCAACTTTATAATAAATTTTATTATGGATTAATAATATTTGGGCCTTCCTGAAAGAAGAAAGAAACATACTTGGATCACCCCATATAATTTTGTTGTCAAAAAAAAAAAAAAAACATACTTGGGCTTCTTTAAATAAGACCGACGAGTGTATAAGTTGACCCAATCATTTACTATTTTACATTTGTCAAGACAAATTGATACAACAAATATGAATCAGTCAAAGTCAAAGAGAAGTGACTTATTCAGAGAAGGAAAGTTGTAGATATGTGATTAATTTCTAATACGGTTAAACACGTTTTTTTTTTTTTTTTGCTAAATTGTAAATATCATTTCAAAAATGAACTGTTGAGGTTTACAACTTGTGATAAACAAACTATAAGACCTCTATGACTTACTTCCAAGGCAAAAAAAGGTAAAAAACATGAAAGCAAGAATCAATCGAACTTGAGACCGTTCTGCTTTGGAGCGAACAAGATATCAAGTATCGATAAAACTTGTAGTAGCCAGATAGAAGGTTTAGCCAAGACGGGTTTGAAAGGGGAGACCCGAGAAACTAAAACACAAGGAACACAACACTAGTGGGAAGTGGATTCAACGGCTGCCTGCACAACTTGCTTTACTCCGAGGAATATAAACAATCCCGCTCAAGGACTGTCCTCTAGGTCCGGGCTGGGAAAGAACTAAACCCGGATTCCAGCAATAGACAGGACAACACATACCACGGGTGCTTAATAGCGCTCAACTAACTCAACCGCACTCGCCCTCTAAGTCGGTATAGAGAAAGGGGCAGCATCACCACCTCCCGAGTCTTACTACGTCCTCCAACCGCAAAGTGATACCCGGAGCTCCAAGGAATCAAAGAACCTCCACAACCCAGCTCATTTAAACCTGCAATTCCAATCAAACTAACAAGCAACGCCAACGCCAACAACAAAGGAGGGCAGAGGAGCTAAATTAATGCATCACTCAGTAGCTATCTCCTAATCTTGACTCAACGGAGTGACAGAGATGACCCTATGCATCCAGTCCGAGATCCCGAGATCCCGAGACCCCTAACTCAGATGACGAGTACCCAAATAGCCTTTGACGGCAGAGGCCAAAAGCGACATTTTCTTCCAGTCCTGCAAGAGGATTAAGTGTCGGGAGGGGAGACGTTTGTTTCGGTGATGAGGAGGATGAAGCGACGGCACAGTCGCTAGAGGCACCTCACCGCAAATCCCTCTCAGCTTCGAAAAAATCGAACACCGTCATCTGTGAAGATGACGAACCGAAACAGAGTCACATCACCAACGAACCTTCACGCCGGAGATGGATTTGGATATGGCGGGGTCAGCAAAGGCCCTCTCACAGCGCCGAGCGGCACTGGAGAGGCAATCAGAGGAACGGAGAAAAAAGTTGCGAGGGTTAGGGTTTAGGGAGAGAAATTGGGAGCGCGTGGAGAAGTTTAATTAAATGGTTTGTACGGTTTAACACGTTAGAAAGAAAAAAAAATATTGTTAGCTCTTGAACGACAAAAAAATATTCTGAAATTCTCTCTTGTTTTTATTCTATTTAATATTTCATTTAATTAAATACTGAAAAAGAGTAAAAAACGAAAAAACCATTTATTTATTAAAAATTTACAATCGACCCAGGTGAACTATCCACCAAATTGGATGGTCCATCAGACCAACCCTTAATCGACTTCATTGAGACTTTAATGAACATTTGAATTTGATATATTGAAAATCTATTTTCAATCTTCGGTTCTTACGTCCCCAATATCCTCTCCTTTAGAACTATTTCATCATTGAAAAGACGATTTGACAAGAAGAAAGGAGTAACAAAACCCGTCAAACGAAAAATTGAAACAAAATCCAGAATGTATAACTTAGTAAAATTTATTGAAACTACAAAACTGTGGACCACTTAATAATCAAATAATGCCCAGTTTATACAATTTGGTTTCTATATGATGAGGAACTTGACAACTTAAATTCTGTGCAATATAACTCAGCTTCATCACCATCTGAAGAAATGGCTTCGTATGCAGCATCATCGTATGAGTTGACAATAGAAAGACCTTAGGTGACAAGAACAGAGGAGTGAAACTTTGACAAGGAATGAGATATGTATAGCAAATATACTTATCTTAAATGAGGAGAGACTGGCTGTGGGGATCTTCTGACAATGGGTTCTGTGTACTTCTAATCCAGACGCAACACCGTAAGAGTTGTCAAAGTGACAAAATCTGTGAGGAATATCTTTTCCAAAGTTTGACAAAGTTAAGCAAAACTATGCAATCCATGGGAATAATCAGATGATATGTGATGCGTAAAAAAATAAAATTTATAAAAATCGATTTAAAACCGGAAACTTCATTGTTCAAAGTTTAAGAAAAAAGAAATATAAAAAAATGAATATTTTAAAAAAATGGTCAAGGAGGAAGGGCCCCTCAAGGCTTCGCCATCAAGGACTCCCCCAGCTTGTCCCACTCTATATACGGGATTTTGATTGTGCTTAACTTCTGCTCTGCAAGGAGGAGCTCTGCCTCGAGTTTGTCCTTCTCTTCCTTGATGTTGAAGTAAGATACCCCTTTGCCATAATCTAATCAAGCAACTCCATTTGAACTGCAATAGGGTACTTCTTGACTTCCGCTTTGTGCCTTTTCTCAGTCTCTTCATATTGAGCCTTCACCATCCGAAGGATGGCCCGGTAGTGCTCAGTGGTTTCTGATTTCCCCATCTTGTAAATATCTTTAGTTGTGCCAAACATCTTTACCTGAAACTAATAAAAATCAATTTTTATCAGATAGGATGTGAGAAAGAGAGGAGATGAAACACTTACTTGTAAGGTTTTTGTTCTCGAGATATTTTTACTAGTGATGAGGAGGGTAATCATATAGAGGTGATGTAAGTACAACTAACCATTTATAATTCAATTCAATTCAGGCAACTAGTTGAGACACAACCAGTTAAAACTTGACTCATTAACTTCTTTGTAATACCGACTCAACCAGTTCAAACTTGACTCATTAACTTCTTTGTAATACCAACTCAACCTTTGATTGATTGATGTAACAGAAGCTAAACCATTTATTCAACCATCTCTGATAAAAATTAAATCCAGTGATGTAAGTTTAACTAAACCATTTATTCAACCAGTTCATTTATTCTTCTAATAAACGGAGTGATGTAATTTTCAATTGATTATGTATGCCAAACTTCGAATAATACTTGTATGATTTGGTAAAATTAATTTTGCAGTTTTTAAAACTACAAAAGTAAAACCTAGTGAAACTTAGTAAGATGTTGCAAATTTCATGGCATTGAACGAAATAAAATTAGAAGATGCTGAAGTATGTGTTTATAGTTTTTTGTTTGAATTAGAATCAAATTTCATGGGATTGAAGGGAAAAAAATAATATTTTACCATATCCCACTTTTCGTCAAATAGCTATGTTTGGTAGAATAGAAGAACTTTGTTATAGATATTATACTTTTGTGACTTCTTTCTTCATATTGGCCTTATGAGATGACCGATCTTCACATACTGGAATTATATATATATATATATATATATATATATATATATATATATATATATTACATGGTTATATGAGAAATGATCATGTTATACTGAACTTAAGTGAAAAAAATCAAAGTTAAACTTTGAACATATTTGTAAAACTGCAAACTGGGTATAACAAGAGCTATGAAAACTTCCGTACCAATTGTTTTGGGGGGGGGGGAATAAAAAAAATATTCCGCCAAAAAGTACAACATAATTCGACTCTCTCTCCAAATCATTTCGTCCCTGTTTCATGTGCTCTCTCTCTCTCTCTCTCTCTCTCTCTCTCTCTCTCTCTCTCTCTCTCTCTCTCTCTCTCTCTCTCTCTCTCTCTCAATGCTCTCAAATCTCCTCTCTCACCACACACACTTAAAATGTCTGATCCTTATTGATTTGAATTTGACTATCATTTTGAAACTTGACTAACAATTTGTTTATTGACTAACAATTTGTTCTTTGACTAACAATTTGTTTCTCCATTTCAATGTGTTCTTTTAAATTTTACCAGATTCACTAAACATGTAACATTCAGAAACTTATAAGTTCCATTAATTTGATAGAAGTTCATATTAATTATACAACCAAACCCCCAGAAATAAGACAATAGGAACTAAACAACAACCAACAACTATCCTTCCATTATAGGGTCCTTCACGTCTCTTAGTTGCTTTGATGTGCTTAAGTTCTTCTTGTACCACATGAACTTGGCTGTCCACAACATTTGAAGAGATGACTGTCGTTGATAAGCTACAAACAAAATAGAAAAATAATGTCAATTTAGAGATCTTTAAACCCTAATAACTAAAGTTGAAGGTTTTTTACCTTCCATTGCGCTGCATATCGACATCGATAATATCAGCGGTAAGGGTTAGGATCA